AGAGTGATGATGTATGGTGATCCACAACCAATAAACATGCACTGAAGTCAGAGCAATCACAATATTTCAATTGTCTTGCTCTCATTGGTTGAAGAAGCCACGTAGGTCATCTTCAACCTCCAGCTACCCTGCAACTAGGGCGAGATCATGATTCTGAAATCTGTAAATTTAGACACTCGTAATGGTATCATTAGATGCGTCTCTTCAAGATGATCACAACCATATCCTCGTGCCAAATTTATATAAAACACAACTTACTCGATTTGGAAAAAACCATAGATATTTTGAAAATTTTGAAATCGAAACAGAAGCATCAAATGCATTTATTCATCAAAATTGAGTTAATAGCAAGCATCAGTGAACACCATAAACCATTCCAGTAATTTGAGTTAGAAGATTTGGTGCCTTAAACTACCTGAATAAAGTCAGACGAATTTGCTCTGAAATTGGACTTGGCTAGCACGATTTAGGAAGCCTTAGGACTTGGTTCTTCTTCTGTTAGCTTCATTGAAGTTTAAGGATGAAGAATCAGCAAAGAAATTGGATTTAAAAGTGGAGAAAAGATGAATTCGAAAACTCAAAAAGTGATTTATGGAGAGAGTTTGGAAGAGAGATTTTGGTTGTCCAAGCTTAAGAAAATGAGAGGAGTGATGTCCTCTATTTATAGGGAAGTGAATGGTGCAAATAATTGAGAGGAAAATTGAAGTTCAGAGGGAAATTGGATGGAGCCCGAAAGTGGAAAATGCGTGACTCCATGTGCATCAAAACTCAGCCAATTCTTGTGTTTTGATCCTTAATTCAACTTTGGGAACTCTGTTAAACTTGTTTTAATCAAAAACACGTGGTAATTTGGTGTTTAGAAGCTGGATTATGGATTTCAAAATCTGACTTGGAGGAAAAATGTAGTTTTAAGTAGTTGACTTTGAACTCATGGTGTGCACGATTTAGGAAGCCTTAGGAGATGATTATTGATGCATTGGAAAGATCATGTAACACTCTTTATAGTGTGCCAAGAAAGAAAGCATTTGGATGCTTAAGCTGAAAGTTATGCTTGGTCAAAATCATGAAAAATGCGATGACTTTTATACTTAGAAAAATTCTAAGTTTTTTCTTAAAAAATGACCTATAATGTTTTGATTCCAAACAATGTCTTAATTCAAAATTGAGCTTTAATCATTAATGCTAGATTGAAGTAGACTCCTTAAAGAGTATTATGAAACTTATATCACTAAAAAATTCCAAATATTGAACAAGTTATGATCTTGTGAAATTGGTGAAAATCCATTAGATGACCTATAATCTTTTGATCTCAAAAGCATCTTGCAATCATTTACAAGCTTAGCACCAAAAAGAGAGTTAAAGTTAACATCCTTAAGATCATTGTGAAAAAATAATGAGCTCAATATGATAAAATTTGATCAAGTTATGGTCTTTTGAAGTCACACAAAAGATTTTGATGGTCTATCTAGAGCACTTATAATCTTTCTCAATCATTAGTGATCTTCCATATAAAATTTTCTTGAAAATATTGAAGTAATTTGTTAATAACCCTTTAAAGAGAAACAAATATTTATACTCACTCAAAAATCTCAAAAGATGAACAAGATATAGTTCTTAGAAGTTCAAAACCCTAACTTTTAAAGCATCAAAATGACTTGGAACCCCTTTCAACTTTTGACAATCTTTCCTGCACAATTGCTTTTTCTACGTGAATAGAAGTTGTTGTGGATGATAATAAGAAACCATAGCAACAATAATCACTTCCAAATGTTGAAAATTGATAAAATTATGCACTTGTAATCAAGGAATCAAGAACTTGTCAAATTAGGTCAAACTTCTTGAATCAATATTGCATCTCTTGACTTTCCTTAGAAAAATAGAGCATGGTGAGACATAGTAGGCTTTGAAATCATGTTATCTTGAAACACACACAAAGATGAAGCTTAAATATCAATAAATATTTGTTGAAGAAGGCACGAAAATAAACTCCTGAACTTATGAATCAACCTGATGAAATGTGTTGTGCCATCACCTATAATGTCAACATCCATAGAGAAAATATACATTATATTTGTTAGTTAAAAGTCAATCAATCATAAACACACATGTACAAAACCATACAAACCAAAGTGCTTGGTGATCTCCTATGAACAAATCTAAAGATAGGAAGAATAACCAAACCCTAGTGTGTGATCTTGATATGATTGAGTTGACATTGAAATGATGAGAGATCTTAGGGGAAAATTTGGGGTATAACAACAAGATTATACGAATTACATACATCAACACCTAGATGGACAACAAGATGAAGAATCAAGTAATTGAACTGCTTAAAGATTTTAAAGATTGATTTGCATGGGATTACAACGAGATGCCTGGTTTGAGCTAGGAGATGGTAGAAATTAGATTATCCATAAATCCAGCCAAGCGGCCAGTCAAGCAAATGTCAATGAGGTTCGCGCTAGAAGTGCTATCCAAGATAAAAATAGGGATCGAATGGTTGTTGAAGAGCAAATTCATCAGGACAGCCAAGAGATTTTCTAGGTTTTGTGGTACACGAGAAGGGTATTTATACCATCAATAAAACTAAACGTTTGAGAAGAAAGTGGGAAAAATGCAGCTACACGGCCAACACGTGTCAAGAAGGTGGCGATTGATTGAAGAAGTTGTTGAGTTGGGGGCCACATTTATCCTAGGAAGTTGAAGCTAAAAAGTAGGATAGTGGCCTTTTGTTTGTAGACGTGATGTTTGAGAGAAAAGTCATGATTACGATGACGTCAGTTCGTACTAAGTAAGAAGGACTAAAATGTCCATTTCTACCCTTTTCAATCGAAAAGGTGATTTATATGATTCGACTACTGATGCAGTCGACCTAGAGAGATTTTATAAGTAAGTGATTGAGCCTGAAAATAGAAGCAGTCGACCAGGAAAGACCTCATAAGTTATTGGGCCTAGAAACATCAAAAGGCCCAAAAGATCCATCAAGCGAGCGGAGCATTTTAGAGGGAAACTTGAAGAACGTGGGTTCAAGAGTATGAATGGAGAACACTGGATCATGGAGAGGAGTTACAAGATACACGTGGCGTACAAAGAAGTGAAGTCTGCTAGGAAGTAATTATTTTAGTGTATTATTGTAATACGGTGGGAGAACTGACGTGGGTGTTTTGCGTTTGATCGCAATTGTGCGGATAGCAAGAGTCGCCACTGACTTTTCTTTTATCCAATAAGGAAAGGTTGAAAAAAACAGGAAAGACCTTTTGAGATTATTTCTTGAGTTCGGGGGGTAGGTTATGAAAAGGAAAGGTGTTAACACCCTTTTCATCTATAGTTATCTACAGGCTCTTAGTTGCTTGCTAGATCACTTGCTTTTGTTTGAAAATGTGATTGTGGTGTGTGTTTTGAAAGTATTTTGAAAAGCAATGTTTTTGTAATGGTTCTCGTCTCTATAAGAACGCGTGCAAAGTGTTGTCTCTTGAAAACGTTTCAAAATGAAACTGTTGGTGTAAAAATGTTTTGTTGTTGTGAGCAAGCGAGCAACTAGGAGCAACCTACCTACTTAAAAGGTCTTAAATTTTATTTTCCTACTCCTTTAGATGTTGCCATCTTACCATTGATTTGGTAAGAAGCCCCATCGTTGGATGTGAAGGGACGGGCGTGGGTCAATCGTACAGTCATAGAAGGCAACTTGTGAGACGCTTTAACAATTTCGTGAGGGACTAGATCGTTTTACCGAAGGAAACATTTAGGGACATCGAGGGACTACAATCTTTTTTATCGACGAGTCTTTGCTAAAGCGTCCCATATTCGAGGGACATGACTGTTTTCTGAGGCAACGAGCGAGGTTACCCTAGAGGTGCGCGTGTGAAAGCGTGTTTGATTCAAGTTAATTTGTTCGTTCATTAGGGTTATATAGCAATTGATTATTATGTCTTATCATACACGTCTAATTACTATACAAAATAAGGAAAACAGTAAATTGCGGAAATTAAAATTCTATGCTATTACAGAGCTTTCGGGAATGGGGGTACAAATTTACAAATAGGGATAGATCAATGCGATTAAAAGTACGAATAGGCAATCGATACAATCAAATCGAATCGAACCTTGAATTAAAACTACAACAATCTATGAAGTAAAAATTAATTAACAAAGTACGGAAATAAAATTCTTGGTATTTTGTTTGTGAAAATTTTTAAAAGAAAATGAAGATCTATTCTATATATTTTTTTAAATTTTATCATGTGGAAGTTAAATAATTTAAAAGAAAGTTAACTAATGAAATTATTCACCATTTTTCTTAAATTAAAAATTAGAACTAAGTTACAAAAATTATCTAACAAAACTTCATGAGTTATTAAATTAAAACAAAGAAAATCAAACTAACAAAACAAAGTAGAAGGGTGGTGTTAAACTGAATATGGGGGTGTGAGGTAGAAATATGGATGGGCTAGAAAAGAATTGTAAAGCCCAATAGTTTTTTTTATTTGCCAAAAAGAAGACACTGAACTCAGAAAAGAAAAGGAAAATGTCCCAGGGGGTCTCAAACCCGGGACTTCTCCTCTAAAGCATCACGTCTTAACCAACTGCATCATTCACTCATTCGTTTATTTTTGGGTTTCCATTAATTGATAAGCTAAAATTGTGAAATGGGTTGGGCTAAACCAAACAGGCCCAAACTCGGTTTGTGCTAAAGGGAATGGAAAATTTGCAAACCCTAATTGAAGGGTTGGGGAGCGCCGCGGGCATGTCATAGGGAAGAGGCAAAATTAAGATTTTTGTTGTCCCAACAAAAACAATTAAACACCAGAAATAATATTTTCATCTTTCTCAGGACCGTACTCTCTCTATTCTTCAACACAAGCCTTTCCCAACTCATCATCCCAATCAACTAAAGCCACAATCTCTAAACCAACCAACCTAAACTCATCAATATATCTCCCAAGAATGGAGTATCTAAAATCACAAGGAAGACCCAATTATCTTCTCGTCAACCTCAAAGCATGCACATGAAGAGTACCATTCAACAACTTCTTCACCCTCATCACAATCTCAAGCTCGCACCTTTTCGCAACATCTTCCAACAATATCAACTCCTTCATCTTCCTCGTGATTCTGCAACACATGTTCCTCCCAAAAGGGTGAAGAAAGAGGTAAAAAACATGAGGGTACTTTTGAAGAAAGGAAGTAACAGTGACATTGAGTCCGAGGATGTTTCTCCAGTGGGACATGAGATGAACCGAAACGAAAGGACCACGTTTTCGATTTGACATGAGGATATGGATTTTGAGGACAAGGTTGAGTTTTTTTAAATGGGTTGTTAATTTGTCCAAGTGTGGGTACCTGACTCGGTCCTCCAAACGGGTTTGGGCTGAAATAATGGGTTTTTCCATCGTTTTTGGCTGAAGAGGAAAAAGGGTGAGAATGAAGTTGTGGTTGGTTGGAAGATTTTGTATCTGGAGGTTGATAATGGATTCACTTCATTGTTGGGTCGGAGGAGATTAAGGCGGCGGTGCACGACCAATAATGAAGCATCGATAATGGTGTTGGGAGGTGTATTGGTGGAGGTTAGAGGCGAATTGGAAGGGGAATTTAGAAGTTATGAACATGGGAGTATTGTCAGATTGAAAAGGAAGATTGAACGAAATTCGAATTTGGCGTGGAGTTGCGAGCTAGGGCTTTGAGGAAGATGGAAATGGTGAAAAATCCACCGGGAAGATGCAGTTTCGAGGAACACAGAATTTTTTTTACAGCTTTATGTATTATTTCTCTTTTCCTTGTTTCACATAATTCTGTTTCTTTCGGTTTCAGGTATACTATTCTTACAGCTCAAAAAATTCACAGCATTAAAGAGCAATAATAAAGACATGGTTCCCAGAATTAACAACAATATAACACACAACAGGCTAAGCATTCTCATGATATCAAGAAGATGATGAAATGAGGAAATCTGACTAACCTGCAAGTGAAGATTTAAAGTCGAAGCCTGATGATGAAGCATAAAGAAGAAAAGAAAGAAATAATTGAATACAAAAACCACGTAATAATCTTGCTCTATTTGTATTTCCCGAATATCACTACTCCGAGTGATATGTAGAAGTCTGAATATGGGATTGATATTGTTGAAATTATTGCTGGAATTGTATATTGGTGATTTTTTTGTCTTTTTTTTGCTTCTTGTTTTCTATCTGGATCCCCTACAGTGGTTTTTTGTTGTATTTTTATAGTGAAATGAGGGTGGATTTTGGGGGGGAAAACTATAGAATTTGAACAATTTTGTATATTGTTTCATTGCTTTTTGTTGCAGTTTTTTCATTTGCTTACTTGGTGCAATTGCTGGATTGTTTTAGACTAATCTGTAGGCTGGTTTTGCAGCAGGTTTTTGCAGGATTTAGGACAGCAACAAAGCTATTGTTTTGCAGCAAGGTTGGACTGTTTTGCTGGTTTGTAGCAGGCTGCTTTTATTTACATGTTTTGGGTTGTTTTTTGTAGTTGGTGGCAGCAAGCATAGCAGCAAGTTGCAGGCTATTTTTGTAGCAGGAAATAAGGTAGAGAGAGACAAAGCAATAACATGGTAAAATGGACAGTAGCAAGTTGCAAAGTGGATTGACAGTTTTTTTTTGGTTTTAGTGTAATGTTGGGAATTTATTTGTTGAATTTGTAGTTAATAAACTTGACCCATGAATTGAACTTTTTGTGAATTAGGAATTATGTGGAATTATGAATGAATCATGAATATGCTTGAACTTGTTTGTAATTTTGGGAATTCAATGATAATTTCTTCAAAATACCTTTCTCTTCCAAATTGATTTTGAAATTCCAAGCTCTTTCCTCTAATATTTCCTTTAAATGCCTTTGTATGAATTCAAATGGTCATGATATGAAACCATAATATTTGCAAGGTAATAAAAAATGAGTTGAATCTTTGAATGAAATCTTGATGGTAAATGAATGAAAATGCCCTACAAATGTCTTGTTACTTCAATCCTGAACAAACTAAATACATATCCCTTCCAATTTCACAAGCTATAAACACTTTGATTCATTTGAATCAAAAGAATCTCTTTGAATGAATCTTGAGAAATGATGAGCATATTTGAACCAATTTAAACCTAATGATGTTTCTCGAAGGAATCTCCAAATCATTTCCGATGAAACCTTAATTTCAGGTCTTCAATTCGTGGTAACTTGCAATTCAATCCAATAGCACTCGATAGAACAATGACGCCTTAAGAACTTTGGTCCAAAATCCCTTTTCGTGCAACAATTACCAAATGCTCGGACATAAGTAACTTGAAGAAGCAACAAATATTCAGAGAATTCTCAAACTCGACATCTTGTACCATGAACGATGTTACCATAAGAGTCAATGTCTCAAGAAAATAATTATGGCACAACTTGAAGTTAGAAGTTAAGGACATTCTAAATCGAGAAAATGACCTATAATGTTTCAAGAGATTCCCTGGCCCTCTGAGCATAATTTGACTTCGGTCTTTGAAATAATCTCATGGATAATTCTATTCATGATACTTCGCAAATAGAATCGCTTCAGAACATTGAAAATTGGAAGAAGTTCCGAACCTCGAAAATTGGATAAGAATTTCTCGTGATTAGGTCAAATTTGCAAAATGACCTCTAAAGTATTCGAATTTTCTGATGATCTTCCGTACGTAATCAACTCTTGACTTGTGAAGAGAAATTGGAGACGACGTCAAGGAGAGTCATACATAAAAGGAACCACTCAAAAGTATCGAATAATGAAGAAGTTATACTTGTTTGAACTTGATCTTGCAAAGGTCAATTTTTAGGTCAATGCAGTCATTTGCAGTCATCTGAACCATCGACTTGCAGTGCAAAGTTTGAAAACTGGCATGAACATCCTTGAGGAGACATGAAGATCTATGAAGACCAATTGAAACCTTGAAGACTCATTTTTCTTTGAGAAATACCAAACCCTAATTGTTGACTTACTGCCTAGGGAGAGAATCTGTCTGATCAACTTTTGAGCCAAATTGAGTATTCGAGAAACCCTAGGATAATATCTTGAATGAAAAACGGGAGGGCAAATTTTGGGGTACAACAATTATAAATAAAGCACTTAGTGCATAATGTTAATGGTTTAAACTTTCACATTCCTATACGCTAGTCACTCAGAGTATCCAAACGAACGAGCGAAATGAGTCAAGCTAGGACAATGTATGTTTGAATCAACTTATTTTCAACTATTTTGATGTTATATCCTTTATGTTTACATTTAAAACGCTTTTCATTTTATTTTATAAGTCTTGCTTTATTGCTTATAAATTCGTTTGGCACTAATCAAACAAATCCTTTTTTAACACACTTTATGAAATCACTCGAAAACTGAAGCACTGTACCGAGATTCTCTGGTCGATCTCGTCAGTAAACTTTTGTTAAGAGACCAACGTTGTTTACCGAAACTAGAGGTAAACACACTCATAAAATACATGTTATTTAAATATTTTAAAAATACACAATGTTTAATTATTTTCTCTTTCCTATATTTTTCATGTTTGTATGTGTGCCTAAGTGCGGTTTATTTATGCTTGTGACCATGCAAGTGTTCCTCTCCCTAACAATAAGAGACATGATTAACCTCTAAGACTTTGGGTCTTTCAATTATTCCTCATAACGCGTAATTTAACACACACTTCCTTGTGATACGACAAAAGAGTATTGGGTCAAGTTGGATCACGTGTTCGTCCCTTGACTGACTCTGTCTTTTTACGCTCAAGTATCATTCATGCTGTTTATGGGCTAGAAACCTAATAAATTAGACGTTTTGATCACTTATCAAAATTATTCTACTCCTTCCATCTCAAAATAAAATTCTTTTAAGGTTGTGACACACATTAAGAAAAGTAATGAGTAAAAGAATAAATATAATCCATTTACAAAATTGTCTTTAATGATTATTGGTTACTTTTACATTGTCATAAAAACAAAATGAAATTTAATACCTTGAGAGAAGTGCATAGAAATAAAATTGATAAAAATCAATTAATATTACATTAGAAAAATAAAACCACATTTATTTTAAAACAAATTTTTTAAGTTAAAAAAACACTTAGAGTAATTCATAGTCTATGAAACAAGAAGCAAGACCTATAAACAAAATGGTAAAGGTAATTCCAATTAATTTTTCTTCCAACAAAATAAAAAATGTAGTCGATCATTATTAGTCTAAAAGATAAAAATATCAACATTTATCATAGGTAATAATCATCAATTTCTATTTATTTAAAAAAAAAAATCTAAATATGTTTATCGGTTGTAAATAAAAAAAACTTATTAGATTTAGATTCGGTTCATTCGTCCATCGACATTTCCCAATACTGTAGTGCGGGATATTGAAGTCGATGAGGGAAGAGTGTAGTTGAATAAAGAAAGATCCATGTGATTGTGATTCACCCCGGAAAGCCAAAAGCAACCGCGTCCGTGAAACGTGATTTTCAAATTTCGATCCAACCAACAAGAACCCACATTCAACCATCACCACAATCCAAATCCATCATAATCACAATCATTTTCCACAATCCAAATCCATCATAATCACAATCATTTTCCACAATCCAAACACTCCTTTGCCCCATTCCTGGGCCTGGGAGGAACAACAGTGAATAACAGAATCACGTTCGCATAGAGATCCAATCGAAAATCGCTTATTTGATTAAGTTTCCAGCTGAGACGCCAAACGCTACTCGCTGGCTGGGTGCTTTACCCTCAAAACTGCACCCTTCCAGAGGAACCCTAGGTATTGATTATTCTCATACCAATTCAATTCTCTAGTTTTCTTATTGTTCTATGCCATTGGCACTGCGTAATGGATAATCGGAAAACGGATTACGCTAATTCTGTTTGTTTGTATATTTTTCTTGTAGATGTTGAAGCTAAGATCAAAGTCGGCCGTTCGGCATTGGTGATGTAGAGTCACAGAGCCGATATGGCATTCGTAACTAAGATCAAATGGGTTGTTCTTTCTGTGATTACTTTATCTGTGGCGTCTATCATCATTCATCTGTCTTTGGCAAAGTTGTGGACCGTTAACATTGTGCCGTATAGAGCAATTGCAAGTTTTCCTGGTGATTTTGCTGATTTTTCTTCTGGATTGGGAAGGCAGGTTGGTTCTTATTATACATGTATCAGTAGCTTGTGTATGGGCAAATCATTTGATGGAGAGAAAGGAATAGAGGGTGAAATGTTTTGCTTTTGAATTAAGAGAATTATATGAAAGTTTATAAACATGAATAATGGCTTAGAACATTAAGTTTTATGCTAAATATGTCATTTTTCCTTTTGTTTTTAAAGTTATTGAAATATATAATATATAATATTTGTTCAAAATAACAGCTCCCTTCATTTCCTTTCAAAACCATCCATCCAAACACACCGTAATAGATTGAGCTTTTTGCTTGAATTGCTACAGGTTGTAAATAATAAGAAGCTATGGGGTTCCATAAAGTCTTTGGAAGCACTTCAACCTAGTTCCAATGCTAGAGGCAATTATAGTGGTAATAAATTTTGACTTAAATTTCTTAGCTTTCTATTAGAGAGACACGTGACGACCAGAAGTGGGCAATTTTTAGGCTTGTAATATAGTGGCTACGGCATAAAGCTTTGTCGAAGTGTTCCATTTACATCTTGGTGATTAGACTTTTGTTTT